CCCAGACCTGGGTGACAAGAAGCTAAGAGGTTTCACTTCGAATTTGAGGTCTGTCCCACTTTGGCAAATGTTTCTGGGTGCAGCATTTGAAGAAATTCTTCCAGTTGCATTTTCTCGCACTGTAATTCATACTCAGCCTTTACAGTACCGGCAGCATCATTATGTGGATTGTCTCTAATGTCTTCATTCAGTCCACTTGACCCCTCTGTTTGATCTTCATTTGTATTAACCTCCTCAGTAGGTGCCTCCGGTGTATCCATGAGCAAGGCATTGTCTAGCGGCTGGCTGTTCCTCAGTAACTTTGTCTGTCTGTCTTTTCTCCAAGGCCAGCTGTTTATTTCTCTCCATTCTTTGTGGCTCCTCTTCCGTTAGGCTTCTATTTGGCTCAGGAGCAGACCTCTCACTTTCAGATGAGGTCGTCATAAAAGGGTGTAGGTCGGTGGCAGATACATCCTGGTAGCTATGTTCCCCTCCTTCATCTTTATTGCTAATAAATCTTCATGTACAATAGGGAGATCAAGTCGGATTCGTTTTAAACCGGTCTGAACTTCTTTTTAATTTCCCAGGTATTCAATTCTGTCAACAAAATCCTCAAATTGCAATTTAGGGAATAGCCTATGTGCCCAGTGCTCCATGTGTCGGATTAGCTTCTTCAAGTCTTCAGCCTCATGACCTTTACCTTTGAATTTTGTCTCATCAAACACATGCCCGAAGGTTGGAAGCCCTCTCTCTGAGATGAACCTCTGCACATCCGGCTTGGGGATCTTCCTCTTCACGGTTCTCTTTGGAGGCCCAGGGACACGTACTCTTCCCTCGTCTAGTTCTTCACTGAGGGCTTCAGCAACTTCCCCATCTGCTCTCTCGGGAGAGGCTGCAGGTGGGAAAGGAGGAAACGTTTCATCTTCCACGTGCTCATACTCTGCTAGCTCCTTCAGGCCATTCTCCTGTGGTTCCACCATCTTTACGGGAAGTCCTCCGGAGGGCCCCCGTGTCCTGCTCCACCACTGGCACCACCCCCATCCCTTCCCTCTTCTATTCCAAACTTGGCTCCCGTCTTTACTCTCATTCATTCAATAGTCACAGCGCTTCTGAAGCTTAGAAGACCCTACCGTGCCCACGCAGGCCTCGTCCCACTTGGTCCGCTCTGAGGCCCCTCACTCACCACTCCCTGCAGTTCTCCAGCTCCCCAGTTCTCCCACCTCACTCCGCGGGCTGCGCAGGCACCC